CCCCCCGCTTCTCATTGCCTGGCTGGCAGATGGCCTTGTTCTCAGAATAAACCAGGATGAGACCCGGATACTAAAACCATGCAGAATCTTATTATTTGTGACTGACATTATTAGGGATGTGCTCAGAACCGTATTTTAACACGGCTATGGGGAGCTGCCAGGTCCTGTTGAAACCACCCGACGCTTTTGTACTTCTGCTGACTGCTGTTGCTTTTTTTTTTTGCAACCTGAAAATTGGTAGGAAACAAAGACTGACCCTGGAGTTGCATCATGTGTGAGATGTTCAGATCAAATTACAACCGTTCTAGGCAGGATAATTTTTTTTTGTTGCAATTCTTTCCAGTTGAATCAGTCTCATTTCACACATATCTCTATTCCTTCTCTGCTTTCACCCTTCCCTTGCAACAAAAAGGAGCAAATAAAATCTCAAATCTTACACATTGGATCTGTTCTTTGATTTAGGGATAAGGTCTAGTTTAAATGTAATATTTAAGCAGGCATGGCACAGAATACAGTAACTCAGACCTATTAAGTAGAATGTTTTCATGAAAGGTATCTGGACCCTTGATTTAGCAAATAAATTAATTATGTTAATTGAATCTTCTAAGTGATCCTTACTTGAAAGCAACAATACTACATGGATGTGTTTTGCTAGTAAATTATCCTAGACTTATGTCTTGAAGTTCATTGACAGCTAAAATAGGAAAATATTCCAAATAAGTTGCTGCCTAACAAAGCAGTGGGCAGTTTTCATGATTTCACTGATTTGTGAAAAAAATGCACAAAACTTAAGGGTTTTTAAAAAATGTGTATGCATTTTTATTTTTTACCTAGAGTGTAAAAAGCTTAAGCTAGTTTGAAAGATTGAGGGCTTAAAGGAAAAGGCAGTAAATCCAATGGTAAATATATCTTTATTGACTTCATTTATCATGTTTAATCTAATAGTAAAAGAACCACCCAGATGGTCCTTTTAATGTTCCTTTCAGTACTAAGAATTTGTGAAACATCTTTTAAAGAGGAGTAGGTGGTGTATGTAGAAAAAATAAATGTGCTATTTTGGCTTCTAGGGAGGAGAGGAGGGAAGCAATTATTTTTAGAATCTGTTCTAGTTGCACACAGTTTTATAAGAAATAGAAGAATGTTTTTAATGTCAGTGAATCCTTCAGGGGATGAAGTCTGCAGAAACACATCTTTCAAATCCTCATGATTTCAGAGTATGCGTGTAATTAATGTGTACATGTGTGTACACACATGTATATTCCCTCATGAATGTAGGAGGTGATGAGGCATGCACATATTAGCCAAGTTACTTGGATAAAAAGTAGTTACACTTTAGTCCACTTTTTATGAGAAAGTAATGGCTAATATAGCATTCCTCACTCAGAGGGAGCTACAGTGGGAATGAAAAAAAGAGACAGAACAATGAAATCAATTAGAAAAAAACATTGACCCATACTGTTAATATAATTGTGGGAGATTAACTGAGTAAACTGACTGGAATGTTCCCCCGAACAGGAGCAGCAAGTATGCACGATCCTCTAGCAGAATATTTTGGTGCGCCACACTCTACCTTGACTTTTTTCCCTGATGACTAAATGCTTATAAAATTAGATTTTCTTGTGTTAGAAAACATGATTAATAATACCTTTACCTACAATACAAAATAATATGTTTGCCTGGGCCTCAGGAGAATCCTTTGCCACAAGCAGCATTTTTACATGGCCTTCATCTACTGTAGAATTTTTCTCCTTTTGGATTGCACTAATGATTCTCTCAAGCCCTTACAACATCATTCCCGTTCTAGTCCATATACTGCATATGACGAGCATTTGGGTACTCAAAGAATTTTTAATAAAAATTGTCTTTCATATTGACTTTAGCTAGTCAAACAAATATTGATCCTGATGGTGAAAAGATAATTTATTCCTAGAGAAGTTCCTTCCAGTCTATTAAAAATCATAATTTGTATGTGGACTTGGTTATACCATTTTATACATTGATTATATATGAAAGTTACATGTACCATAATATCAGCTTTGAGTTATGTAAGTAAAAAATTTTAACAGATCTACCCACCGTGGAGTTTATGGGTAGGATTTTTGTTTTTTGTTTTTTATATTTTAATGCTTACACACCAAAATATTGATATCTTGATTTTTTTCTGATCTTTTTTATTTTCTCAAGGAAATTTTTACCACCCAACTTTCAGCCCCCGTCCTTCCCTTTACCCTCCAACCTCCAACATCTCTGTGTAGGGTCTGATAGCCATTCATTTACTCTTGTCTGTTCACTGCATTTAATTGAAGCAAGGTCTCCTTCATCATTATGTTGGTGAGCCATTTGTCCAGTAAACATTTCATTTGTGGATTATGGACTTCACTTCTCCTAGTAAAGCAAAAGGAAGGTGGTAGTGAGGTATTTGGGAAACCCTAGAATTTTTTAGTATGTTTCTTGTCTATTTAATGGACATTTCTTAAACTCCCATTTACTTGGCCCAGTGTGGGTGTTGAGGGTCTAAAGGAGCAAGAAAAGTCACTGCTCTTAGTTGTGAACTGTCCAGGATGTGGGAAGAGTGTACATGGGCTGGTTACATCCCCAGCACATGCCGCCTAATATAATACAACGATTCTGTAAGAAAAGCCAGCTAAGTAAATGTGAAAACATCTAAGTAAATGTGAAACATCTACTGTAGTCCTGTGAACGTTGTCCTCATGCTTGACCCTTTTGCACCTCTGATGCTGCTGTCTTCCCCCTTATTAAAGTTCCTTTTTGTTTGCCCTTGAGCTACCACATCCCCCACACACATACATCCTTACTCCCTCCCCATGATTCCCCAGATCCTCCCTCCCTTTACCCAGTCCACTCCCACTATGTTAGTTTCTCCTTAGTCTGGTCTTTGTGTGTTTTCTCTCCTTACTCTTTAGCCAGTGTACTACCTCCAGTCCTCTACTGTCTCCTCAATTGAGACTCTTCTGTTTGTAGTTTCCCACTGGTGACTTGTCTGTCTTCATATCTTTGGCCCTTTCCTCATAGCAGTTGCTGTTAGAATCTTGGGTTACTGGAACATGCCCCCCCATTCTGTGAGGAGTCTGGATGAAGAAGCTATTACTTTGTGAGATTCCAAAACACAAAAAAGTGCCCAGCTCTTAATCCACTAACTGCACCATCAGATACCAAACCGTGTTCTCCCTCCCATTGCCCCAACAAGATTAGATAACTTTTAGCTTTGATGTTCAGTATATCTTTCTCATCTTTTTTGAGATACTTTTCTGAGCACACAGAACTCTTGCTTCTGTTGCTAACAGTTTCACCAAGGCATCTTGTCTTATTGGTGAACATCTGTCAATATAAGTCTGTTGGGTCTGTTTCTGATTTTCTTGGGGATGCCTCACTAGGTGGCAGCTAACAACAGTCTTTGGAGGAGAAAAACCAGGTTGCAGTCCAGTCTTTAATCAAGTCAGGGCTATCTACTCATCTTCTGTGCATCTGAACAGTGAAGTTAATGATAATCCCGAGCATGCAATGAGATTCTGTAATAAAATGCCCAGCACACTGCTCAATGTAGAGAAAAAGTTCCACGAACATTGGCTGTTATCATTATAAATGTGTTACTTTGTGAGATTCCAAAACACAATTATTATGAATTAGTGGCTGTTGGAAGAGGAAAAGTCAGATCAGAGTTCAGAAGTTAGGTGTTTGATCTATAAGTCATGGATCGACTCCTGCCTCTGTTGAATACAGTTCTTTAAGATGCCTCTTTTATCTAGCTATAAAAGAAACTATTTATTCAAGGCTTTGGAGTTTAAAAGATTGGTCAGATCCAAGTACTTGGCATCCTCAGATTCTTTATTCTGTTTTCCACAAGGCAGCTCAGGCAGTCTATACAAAGACTGTTTTCTATGAACTATGATAGTTATTGAATGTGATTTGCATTTTATTGTTCTTGTTTTTTGTCTGTGTTTGTTGTCCTTTTTTCTTTAATCTTTAATCCCGTCTCTGGTCTGCAGATGGTCTATTACAGGGCAGTTTTATGCATTGTCCTCTTCAGAAATGCTCATTAGGTGGTAGGAGAACAAGTACTGAGGACTTTCCTGTCTGTTCTTGAAGTGTGTCCAGATTTGTAGGACTTTGTTCAAGGACTGAGCCTTCGATACAAGTTCCTACACAACCCAGCACTAACTTTCTTGTCTTCTCCAGGACCTACAAATAGAACGCGAGAGGAGTTCATATAATATATCCGGTGGCTGCACAGCCCTCATTGTGGTGTGCCTTTTGGGGAAGCTGTATGTGGCAAATGCTGGGGACAGCAGGTAAGCAAATTAGTTGTCTGGTTCTTACTTATTTCTACCGCTTTCTGGTAATTTTTATCTTTCCGTTAAAATTAAAAGGTTGGAAATAATTTTGCTTAAGATTTGTTAAGAAATACAAGTCTTCTGTGTTCTAGTGCAAAAGCACTTAAGAACAGTCAGATTGGTCAAGGCAGACTTGTTCAGAGTAGTAGTTCACACGTATACCTGTAGTTGCTCTAAATCCCTGATATTCAATTTTATTTATTTATTTTTGGCTTCAGAACCTGTTTTTCAGTGAAAACTTAGCAAAGGCAGAATATGTGAGAGTAATATGGGGGAGGCAAAGGATTTGGATGCAGTGGACATTTGAAGAGGAGCCTGGCAGGACTCGCCAGCTGGCTGCACTTGCCCACAGTGACTTTGCAGTGTCCCCTCCCAGGAGCCTGGAAGTTTCTCCTTTTATGCGTCAGCTCTTAGAAGCTGCAGTCTCACCTCTTCTGAGTTCAACTCAAGGGAGCTGTGGCCGAGAGATCATGATTAACCCTTGCTTTATCCAGCAATGCCAGGGAATAAGATAAACTTGTATTTTAATTTTATTTTAAATAATGATACTTCTTCACTTTTGATGTTTTAAACACTTACAAAATTACAAAATTTATGGGAAACGTTCTGGTGTATTATACTGTTCTCTGCCTCTTTAGTAATGAAATAGCTGACTGTATACCATAGCCTTTTCCTGAAGACTTAACTCTGTATTCTGAAAGCAACAAAAGTACTGGACTTCAAATATCATGGCCTCAGAGAAAGAGCAGTTTTCCAATTAGGGCTATGGTTTTGGGATTCTCTCCTTATCAGTTTATCTTGTTGCTGGCTGTCTCTGTAGCCTGGAAAATCAGTGCCCTTGAGATAGTCAAGAAATTCACCCCAATCTTACTTCCATTGACAAAGCAAGTGACCAAGGCCTGAGTGTCTCTGTTTTTCTTAGTGAAGTATCCTTTCTCAGTCTCATCCACTGAAGACCCCAGAGGACAAAAGGGAGTGAACATCAAAGGCAGCAGCTTTGGGGATTTAAAGATGAATGTTTTAGAAGATCCATTTATTTCAAAAGTACATGTGGATTTTCCATTTTATATTTAACATGTCTTGGATTTCAGTGTAAAATTTTGCACAGTAAATGGAAGTATGCATAAAATGCTATATTTATCTCCTAGCCTCTATCCTCTGTATTCACTCAGGATGCTGGCAGGAGCAGGCTCCAACCCAGCTGCATCAACAGTGAATGAAGAAGGAAAAAGGAACTGGCCAGGAGAGTAGAATCCTCCAGGAAGCGTTGGCCACCCTGGGCCTGCAGGGACCAGGGAGGAAATGCCATGGCAGAGTCTCAGGAGAATGGCAGCTACTAATGAGAGGTCACTGGGTAGGAGTTACAGGAGAGAGTGAAGAAGTACTCTGTTCTCTTTTCACCTCTCAGCTGCCTATTTCAGGCCAGAGCTTCCTTTTGGTTGAGCTTGGCTTGAAGCAGGCTGACAGGGATCCCTGGGAGAGTTGTCCGTTGAGTTCAGCCCACCGGGTACAGATACAGACCAAGACTCCATCTTCATGATGGGGTCAGTGGACTGTAACCAGCACATCTCCTTTCCTTCCTTGCCTACCCCACAGTTTAGCACCTTCTAGGCAGGAATGGGCAGCTTTTTAAATACACACCAAGAAGCAGACTGGCCTTTTGTTCAGTTTTGGATCAGGTGCTTTTTGGGTGACAGATGAGCATCTGAGGTAATTCCTTTCTGTTTTGATTGAACAGACTGGAAGGATGATTTTTCTGTCACATTCACACCTGCTCCTATGGTCTTTAAAGTGAGGTGCTTTCCTAGCCCATGTAGGGACTAAGCAAGTAACTGTGTCTGCTCTTTGTACAACTGGCAGGCTCGTCCCTCACCCCCAGGAGAGGAACCTCTCACCAGATGACCTCAGACTTAGAAGTTAACTCAAATTCTATGCCCAGAATATCTTGGTGTTAGATTATCTATCCTTCCTCAAGACTCAACTACTACAATGTCTTTTCTTAATTTAAAACATAGTTTTTCCTTCAATGTTCCAAGCCACTTAACAGAGCCAGTTACCTAGCCAGGACATCTACATCCCAGAAGCTCCAGTCCTCCATCCAGTGTCAAATGCTCATCTTCTGGGTTCTTGCTCTTTGCCCCACCCCCACCCCTACCCCATCAATTTCCAGACCTTGATTTCCTCATCTGTACAGATGGTGTTACTGGACTAGATAACTTCTAAAAATTCTGGCATTCTGAAGATTATCTTACACAAACATGTTTGAGAAAGTAACGTAATACCATTAATGTTGATCTTTATATATATATATATCTCTTTTATAACTTGAGCTAATTTTTGAAATTTTAGTTTAACTGAACTCCTTGTTTTTCTAAATGTCCATAAAAATATGTTTTTCCTTCCTTCCTCCCTTTTTTCTTTCTTTTACAGTGCTAGAAATCATATTCAGGGCATCACACATGCTAGGCAAGTGCTGTACTACTGCAGTACCCTCAGGCCTACATTAATTTCTAATAATTTACTGCTAGATAGATAGACTGATTTTTCAGACAGGGGCCCCATAAATTGCCAAAGCAGGAATAAAACTTGTCATCCTCTTGCCCTTCAGCCTTTCTAGTGTTGGGATTATGTGTGTGTGCCACCATTCCTGTCTTCTAGTAATTTTGAAAGCAAATGCATTTTCCTTTAATAAAGCTGTAAGGCACAAAATAAAAATTATCCTTTGGTTAAACAGTAACTCTAAAATCTAGTAAGTTTAAATGTATTTGTAGTATTCAGGTCCTAGTATCCAGATACAAATTCAGGACTTTGTAGCCATTTGGATGGGTTTTCTATTCATATATAGATCATATAAAAAACTAAGGATAATATGAATTGGTATTTATATGTTCTGTCCAAAAGATTATGTGGGACACTTAAATCTTCAGGTTGCCATTTGCAGTTGTTTTATAATCAATGGATAGTTGATACTATATGATAGAATCATTGCAATGTTATGCACTTAATCGTGTAGGTACAGTGGTACCTTAGTTCATGAACACTTTTGTGTATGGACAACTTGGTTCACAAACTGAAGCTTTTGGGAAAATTTTGCTTTCCTTTGTGAACTCTGCATTGGGTGACAGACAGTACCGTGGCCATCTTTCCTTCATGAACAGGGGCACAGCCATCTTTTCCAGAATAGTGGAAAAAAATAAGTTTGTAAACCGAGGTACCACAGTATTTGAGTTTATAAAACTGTGTAGTTATTCCCAAGAAAGAAGAACTAAGTGAACTTTTTCCTATCTATGAAATGTATGCCTGTTATCACTTGTGGACAAGCAGTCAGTAATCCAAAAGCTCGGTTTAAACAAATGTTTAGAGCTGACAGGAGATTCTGGCAGTAGGGCTCTGATTAATTAAGTACTAATGTTTCTTTTTTATTGCTAGATTTTTAGCTGTCATGCATTTACTTTAAATCTTGACAGTTTTGAGAGTGAAAATAAATCTTTGTTCTGTGTTTCCTACCCCATAATTATTTATGCTCAGTGAGAGAGAAGCTTTGTGCTGGTTCGGTGCAAAAGCCACTGGTAGTCGATAACATTCTCCAAGCCACTTGGCTGTGTTTCATCTGATTGACCATGAGGCATATGTGTAGTCAAGAGTTGTCTTCAAGAAATATTGCTGATGCTGTTTGTGGCTCACCAATGTTTGAGTCACTGGCCATCCTCGATATAGGTTGGTCCTCAGTGACGTGTGTGACATTCAGTGGTCTGATCTGCAGCTGGGGACAGACTTCTTTTTTCTGGTCAACCAAGCTAACCAGCCAAAAAGACACGTGCAGTAGCTGCATGACACTCACAGGTTGCTTTGTTTTTTCAAGGCAAAGGCAGCCAACTCAACACCTAGGGCTCTTAGGGACTAACAAAGAAGCAGATGGTGGATGGATTTTCACTTCCAGCAAAAATGAACCAGTAGCATGCAAATGTCATGCAAAGCGGTATGCAAACTATCACCGTTGTGTTTGAGTCATCAGCTCTGTAGGGCTGTGTGTGTTCTTCAGTTGAGGAAGAAGGTACTGTACTCCATATGAACAAATGATTTCATTTTATTTCTAGAGAACTAAGGCACCGAGGAAGCAAAGCTATTATTACCACTGCCATTATTACCACTTATTTCAAATGCTGTCTAAAAGTTTGGTACGTGAGATGAGCTGAAAATTATATAAGATTTGTTAAATTCTTAATTTCCCCCTTGCCAGAATTACAGTAACAGCAACAGTAAGACAGCTAATAAGTGCTAAGCACATTGTAAATACTGTAACAGAAGATCGTATTTAATTCTCTCAATATAGTGAGAAGGAGGCAGTGTTAATATCACATAAATACAGTTTACAAAAAATATTTGAAGGTGAAGTGATTTGCCTGTGGTCCCCAGTACTAAGGAGCAAGACTGCCATCCAGGCCAGGGCTCAGTCAAAACATCTTGTCCTCCGTGTCTGTACCCTATCCTGGGATCTCCCATCCATGCCAGAACTCACAGGGCTTATTGTTTTTCTCATTTTAACATTGCCAAAGCAAGAATTTCTAATTAACATTTTCCTTCCTTTTTATTTGTACGTAAAATAACAGCATGCCTTATTTGTTAGTGGTATTTTAGATTTCACCTAAAATGGATTATGGGTGTAAGTGAGTACATTTAGAGGTTATTTTAAATGCATTGCAGTCGTCAGGCTAATTAGCTCTGAGTGATCCAGCTCATTCATTTGTGATAGAAGAAAAGTTATTTTCTCAAAATCAGGGCTTCTGTGGCCTTCCAGGTATCCCAAAGTTTTGAGCCCCTTTTAAGTGTAGTTGCCATTTTGATGAGTTGATTGAAAATAGATCGAGCATCTCCTGGATTAGTATTCTATAAATAGTTACTGCCAAGATGTCAGGCTCTATTTTATTATGTTTATGATTTATTTGTAAGCAAGTGTG